GTAGGTTTGGTCACTTCTCTCTCTTAAACACTAGTGTTTGTACCTGACCCCACCATCCACCACATTTTCAAATTTTAATACTAAAGTTTGAAACTTCTCCTTTTTCATATTTTTCATTATGATCGAAATACAAATAATATATCACGTATTTTTATATAAATGATAAGAAATTTTATTTTTTAAATTATTAATTTTTTAACATACATATCTTACAATTTATATGATAACAATATTATATCGTGCACTGATGACACTGAAGATCTCTCACATCCCATCCACTCTCATTGATTGCACAGTTATCTCAATCCCTCCCAGCTTACAGAAAAATCGTCTCCAAAATCTAAAACTTTATTTCTTTTATTTGGCCGTGTAAGGAGGTCCCATCGCATGTGTCCATTTTACGACCGTTTACCATTGTCCTCCACTAGCACTAGCATTCTGGCAAACTTCCTCCATCAGGAGGAAATTCCACCTCTCTCTTTTTGGTCCTCCACTAGGGATATACTATAACCTTTCTTCCGTTTGAACGCAGTTTGTTTGTGCGCTGAAAGCGTGCGCAATTTTGTCTTTATATTTTTTATTGTTTAATCTCTGATGACTTTCTTGGAACATGCGTACATTTTATTGAAAGACGCTTTACAGAAAATGTTTTTCTTTTAATCAAGAAAACTTTTATCGTGAATGAGAGGAAACTTTTGTATGGTAGATTATATATTTTTATATAAGTGATCAAAAATTTTATTTTTTAGTTATTAATTTTTTAATATATATATATCTTATTATTTATATATTGATACTTGATGCATCATCTCATATGTCGATCATATGAAAAATCTCGTGAATGAGACGTCCTCTCTCCCTCTCTCCCTCTCTCTCTCTCTCTCTCTCTCTCTCTCTCTACACTACGTACTTTGATAGCTGAGAGAGCTCAGACATAGGGAAAGGAGCTGTCATTTTCCACTACACATGGTGGAGAATACACAATGATGACTAACAATAGAAAAACATTTGACAGTGATATGCACATGGGGGCACATGGGACGATGCCGCTTCTCTTCACTGGTTTGCAGGTTTCACTAGTGAATAGGATTTTCTTTTTTTCATATTTCTATTTTTTTCTCTCTTTTTCTCAAGCAGAGAAGAGAAAAGGAAAGAGAGATTAGAGGGGAAATAATCATCCTCCTTAACTAGTATAATAATATGCAAAAAATTTTAACATGCCTTTGCTTTTGTTTACAAAATTGGATTCTCTCCGTGGCAAAGCCTTGGGATCCTCCTGATCCAATAACACAGACCGTTAAATTTTGATCCAACGACTACAAGTATTATAACTTTAGAGAGATCTCCTGTTTATAGTTGTTGAATCAAAATCTAATGGCCCGTATTAATAGATCAGGAGGATCCCAAAGCTTTACCTCGGAGATGATCCAATTCCTTTGTTTACAACAAGTGTATCTCATTGTGCTAGAATTGTGATCCAAAACTGATGCATTCCGTAGACAAGGACAGGCCTGGTTGCACCCTATCATCTTTAATTTGATGATATTTGTTTTCACCCACACACACATATGTATGCTTTGATTTCTTCTGATATTTGTATAATAATTAATTAAACTTGTGGTTATGTGGTTTTGGCTTAGTGAGATATATGAGGAGTGATGAAAGAGCTACATGCGTTGTATGTACAAAAGAAGATGTTTTTATCAACACGTCTTCGAAACAATTCAAGTTTGCATTTCAAAGTTTGAGGACTAGTGTGAGTATGTTCAAACACATATTTTAGGTTTGTAATGAATTATTGGCCTTACCACATTGATCATATATATATATTTGTTTTATAAATGATAATACAAAATATTATTTGAACAATGCTCGGTGGAATTTTTACTAAAAAGCATTCATTTTTTTTACCACAACTCCCATTGGAAATGTCTTTTTTTTTTTTTTTTCTCTTTTTTGATAAGGTGTTTTAATGATAACCCTATTGTATAGAAAATAATATTTGCGACATACTAGAGTAGTATTTTAGGGTCGAAAATTTTAATTGCGACGATTGTGCACTCTAGCAAATATAGATTATTTTGTTTGAATTTTTTTTTTTTTTGACACAATTGTTTGGTCGGGACATCATCGCAAAAAACATATATTGTCTTTTGGAAAGTAATTATAACTGCCATATAAGTATTTACGACCACATTTTCATGTCAAAAATAAAATAATTTTGCTATTTCAAAAATTCATTTTTGACGACAAGTTTTTTGTGCCGATAATAAAGTATTTTCGACATCTAATCTGATAAAAAAAGTATTTTCAATAGAACAATTTCCAACATTCATTAAAATGTCTTTTCCTGACGACATTTGACCCTCCAAAATCTAAAGCTTTATTTCATTTATTTTTGGCCGTGTCTAAGGGCGCAGAGGGAGGTCCCATCCCATGTGTCCATTTTTGACCATTTACCATTGTCCTCCACTAGCACTAGCATTCTAGCAAACTTCCTCCATCAGGAGGAAATTGCACCTCTCTCTCTCTCTCTCTCTCTCTCTCTCTCTCTCTTTTAGGTCCTTAGGGAAATACTATAACCTTTCTTCCGTTTGAACGCAGTTTGTTTCTGCGCTGAAAGCGTGCGCAATTTTGTCTTTATATTTATTATTGTTTAATCTCTGATGACTTTCTTGGGACATGCGTACATTTTATTGAAAGATGCTTTACAGAAAATGCTTTTCTTTTAATTAAGCATATTTAATTTTCAATTTTTGTCCTCCATGAAGCCTTTGTAAGTTTGTGCACAGACTACAATTTCAATTTTTCTGTACTATACTCTAATCTAGTCTCAGCTGCGACTCTAGTTCAGATTCTCTTTCTGCTCTCTGATCCAAGAAATAGACAGATGGAGTTGATTGGGTTCATTCAAGTTTGCAGAGAGGTTCTTGATTGAAATTGTAGTGAAGAAAAACTGAGTGTGGGTGTTGATTGCAGAGCTTCGGAGTCGGAAATTAGTCGGGGAAGAAGAAGGGAGAGAGAGGGAGGGAGTTTTTGGGGGGGGGGGGGGGGTGCGGCGGAGAGATCTGGTGAACAAAAGAGATTATTTTAGTTATTTTTTATTTTAAGTTTGATTCTTCTTATCCGGTATAATACTAAACACAATATAAATAATACGATCATTAGTTTGATATTGCATTAAATGTTTGATTAATTTAGTCAGTACTATCCGATAATTATTTATTTCATCCGATAGAAATAATCAATACAGTCCAAGCTACCAAACAAGCAATAGTTTTTAAAATTTGTGCCAAGTAAATGGTTTGATTCATTGTGGGAGGCTTGGAGCGCAGTGAAAGCGCCAGGGGAGCGGCATGAGGTAACGAAGAAACGCATGGTGAAAGCGTGAGGAAAGCGGTATGAGATAATAAAAAATAAAAAAAAAGGTGCTTGGGAGAGTAGCGGTTCGTCACTTTTCCTTTTCCCGTGAATGAGAAGTCCTCTCTCTCTCCCTCTCTCTCTCTACACTACATACTTTGATAGCTGAGAGAGCTCAGACATAGGGAAAGGAGCTGTCAGTTTCCAAGAAAAGAGCTGTCATTGTCCACTACACATAGTGGAGAATACACAATGATGACAAACAGTAGAAAAACATTTGACAGTAATATATGCACATGGGTGCACATGGGACGATGCCGCTTCTCTTCACTGGTTTTCAGGTTTCACTAGTGAAGTAGGATTTTCTCTTTTCATATTTATATTTTTTTTCTCTCTTTTTCTATAGTATTTTATTTTTTGTCTTATTATTTTTATAAAAAATTAATATAAGATGTTAACTTGATTTAATCATAACGATTCAAGTAGAGGGAAGGAAAAGAAAAAGAGATTAGGAGGAGAAAGAATCCTCCTCCCTCACTAGGACAATAATATGCAAAAAAATTTAACATGCCTTTGCTTTTGTTTACGGAATTGGATTCTCTTCGCAGCAAAACCTCGGAATTCTCCTGCTCCAATAACACAGGCCGTTGGATTTTGATCCAACGACTACAAGTATTATAACTTTAGAGAGGTTATAACTTTAGGATTAAAATCTAATAGCCCATGTTATTGGATCAAGAGGATCCCGAGACTTTGCCTCGGAGGTGATCCAATTCCTTTGTTTACAACAAGCGTATCTCATTGTGCTAGAATTGTGATCCAAAACTGAAGCATTCCATAGACAAGGACGGGCCTGGTTGCACCCTATCATCTTTAATCTGATGATATTTGTTTTCACCCATACACACATATGTATGCTTTGATTTCTTCTGATATTTGTATAATAATTAATTAAACTTGTGGTTATGTGGTTTTGGCTTAGTGAGATATAGGAGGAGTGATGAAGGAGCTACATGCGTTGTATGTACAAAAGAAGATGTTTTTATCAACACGTCTTCAAAACAATTCAAGTTTGCATTTCAGAGTTTGAGGACTAGTGTTAGTATGTTCAAACACATATATTAGGTTTGTAATGAATGTATTGACCTTACCACATTGATCTTATATATATTTGTTTTATTAATGATAAGACAAAATATTATTTGAACAATGCTCAGTGGAATTTTTACTAGAAATCATTAATTTTTTACCACAATTCCCATTGGAAATGCCTTTTTTTATTATTTTTTTATCTTTTTCGATAAGCTGTCTTAATGATAACCCTATTGTACAGAAAATAATATTTCCACTGGAGTAGTATTTTAGGGTCAAAAATTGTAATTGCGATTGTGCACTCTAGCAAATATAGATTATTTTGTTTGAAATTTTTTTTTTTTGACACAATTGTTTGGTCGGGACATCATCGCAAAAAACATATGTTGTCTTTTGGAAAGTAATTATGACTACTATATAAGTATTTGCGACCACATTTCCATGTCAGAAATAAAATAATTTTGCTATTTTGAAAATCCATTTTTGACGACAAGTTTTGTGTGTCGATAATAAAGTATTTTCGACGTCTATTCTGAAGAAAAAAAAAGTATTTTCAATGGGACAATTTCCGACACCCATCAAAATGTCTCTTCCGACGACATTTGACCCTCACTAATGACAATTCGTTTTGTAATAGTTTAACGAAAGGTAGGATCAAGGTCAAATAGTTCACAAGCTGCTAGGGTTTGGCACCGTTTGAACATTACTCCGGGGATTCAAAGGTTGAGATCACATATCAGATTAGTAGAAAAGATGAAAATATGCACCTGTTCTGTCCATCATTAACTCCGTTGTAAACACTGTTAAATCACCTACGAAAGACTTATAAAAAAAAGAAACATGAAGAACTTTCGATCCCTCTCTCTGTCAATTATCTTTCCCCCTCTCTTCTGTGTCTGTGTCTCTTTTGCTTCCTTCTCTTAAATCCCTTCAATTCCTTCCCCAATTTCACAAAGTGCCATGGCTGAATCACTGAAGCTTCTAAATCACGTGTCACGCATGTACTCGTGAGAGAGGCCTTTTCCCTTGTATCTTTGACTGGGACCTTTGTCAACCCATTGTCGCGGTTGGTGATGCCGGTGATGAGGGGGATACGGTGTTTCGGTGTCTCGTTAGCAAAGTCGTTAGGGATTAAGGATATTTAATGTGAAGTGGGTTTCGCCTAAAATACAGGAGTTCAAAATGCAGAGTTCAAATTGGAAGGGTAAGAGAGAAAGAAGGAGGAGAGCGATGGTTGTGGTGCGATGGTGGTGATCTCGTTTCAAGTTCCAAATTTATTTTTATTTTGGATAATTTTAAATCCGATCCCTATTTATCAACGTTCTTTGATTAAAACTTTGTTGTTTGGTTTTTTATTGAAATCCTTGAAATTAATGCAACAATATATTTCTACGTAGCTTATTATAATTTTTAAATTAAAAATTAATATTTATAGTTATTTATATTAATAAGATTTTAAATAAAATATTTAAAAAAATTATACTTAAATAAAACCTATGATTTGTTGTTATTTATATTAATAATATTTTACATACAAAAAATTGGTAATTTTATACAATACATTTTACATACAAAAAGTTAGTACATTTTACAAGGAAAAAAGGTGATACATTTTATATATTGGGTACATCTCTAACATTAGAAAGCTAGAAGTCAAGTTTGGTGTCTCAAGACTTCACCAAAAATTTTTAGACTAAAAAGCCCCCCAAACAAAAAAAATTACAACTACCAACATAAAAAAATGTTATAATCTGCAAGGGCATTTTGGGACAAAAAAGTATCAGATAATTAAAGGAAAAAAGATAAAATAAATAGATAAAAGATAAAAATCTGCGACTTCATAGGAGAGAAAAAGAACGTGGTGTTGTTTGAAACTGCTCTGAGCAGTTGTGTTTGGTTTATCTCTTTCTTCGGTCACGCAAAAACTGATTCGTCGGTTTCTTAGGTATTTTTCTTCACTTTTTTCTCTCTTCTTTGGTATTTTTGGTGTTTAATTTTTTTTTCTCTATCATGTGCTTTAATTTTAGCTTCCAAGGAACTATTGGTTATGTTAATCCAATTTTTCCATTGTTCTGTTTTCATAAACTCGATGGCTGAGAAAGCCAATGGGGTGGTGGACCAGAAGCCGACCAGCAACAGGTGGTGAGGCCCTATCCTTTCCACGAAATCGAGCTCAAATGGCAGTGTCATTGGGAGGAAATCGGACTTTTTCGAACCCCAGATGAAATTGATACCTCGAAGCCCAAATACTATCTTCTTGATATGTTCCCTTATCCCAGGTAAACTCTATCCCTTTTTTATTTATTTATTTTAAATTGCAAATGCAAGTGATTGTTTATGTAGAAAATATGAAGACCCAGTTTTATTAAAAAAGTGAATGTTTGAGCAATTGCAACTGAGAAACTTAAACTTTATTAATTCATATGCCTTAAGGAAATACCAGGGCGAGGGTTCTATGCGTTGTTCCGGCGGATGAGGATGCCTTCTGAAAATTCCAGTGCGAGGTTACTATGTTCTGTTCCCATGGATAAGCAGGCAATGCAAAGGTACGATTTAATTGGTGAGTACTTCAATCATCATCTAAATTTTCTGAAGGTCATTTTTGAATTGGTGAGTACTTCAATCACCATCCTCATTTTCTTCTTTCTTTGCAGAATTACGAACAATGATGGGGCCTCTAGAGAGTAACTGCAGGCTCTGCAAAAGTTTGAATCGCTTTGTTGGTGATTCCATTACGTGCACACACTCTTATTCCAACAAACACTGCAAAGGACAAAAGAAACAGAAAAATCTGCCCCTTCAGTAATGCAAAAAAAAAAAAAAAAAATGACAAGGTAGACTATTTGACTGAAAGTTCAAAATTTTTTTAAACCTATTTGACTATTTGTGAAATTTTTACTTTCCGGAGTCTGTTTCATGTTTATGAGTGTTAACCGAAATGGTTTTTGCATCCATGATGATGGCATATGGCGTGTAATGTACTTTGTTGGTCTGATGAGAAAGGTTTCATTTGATGCCAACATTATAGTTCCTCTACCCTAACATCTTTCCAAATGTTATTGATCAAAAAACTAGGACAAAATGGTAAAAAAATCATAACCGAACAAAAAAACTGCATTGCAAAAGAAAAAAATTCAAAAAAATTAAAAAAAAAAAAACATTATAGTTATCCTCTAAAATTTAGCAGTATTGCGGTTTAGACAATAAACAAAGAAAAAAGTGCGTCCAGTTCCTCATTTTCTTTTAAGACCCTAAAATACAACAATTTAATTAAAAACAAAAATCAGCACTTTAATAAAAACAAATCAATTTAAAAATAAAGTCAAGAACATCGTTTTAGGAAAGAAATATTAAAAAATAAAGTAAAAAAAAGGCCACATGGTGAATAATTGCTCTCCATTTTAGGAGAGAGATATTAAACAGAAAAATTCAAATTTGTTATATTGGAAAAAAATAAAACAAAATAAAACAATAAGAACGGAATAACTTCTCCTCCATTTTAGGAGAAAATATTAATATCTATGTTAAAAATAATATCTAATAATTATACTAATATCTGCATGTGGTCCGACTAATTTAGATGGATTATGATGTCAACTAATTTCTATCCATTTTAGGAGGAGATAAAAAATCATGATAATTATCCTCTAAAAGTTAGCAGTTATGGAGAGGAGAGAGATAAATGATAAGGGCAACAAAAACAAATTAAAAAAATAAAGTCGAGAACATCATTTTAGGAGATAAATATTAAAAAATAAAGTTAATAAAAAAGGCTACATGGTGAATAACTGCTCTCCATTTTAGGAGAGAGATATTAAACAGAAAAATTCAAATTTGTTATATTGGTAAGAAAAAAAAACAAATAAAACAACAAGAACGGAATAACTTCTCCTCCATTTTAGGAGAAAATATTAATGTCTATATCAAAAAAATATCTAATAAATTATACTAATATCTGCATGTGCTCCACAATTAAACGGATTAGGATGTCTCCAACAAATTTCTATCCATTTTAGGAGGAGATACTAATATCTTATAAAATTATATATAGATAAAAAAATAAATAAACGAAACAAAAGTGGGAGAAAGAAAGGGGCAGAGGTTGCCGTGGGTTTTCAAAAAACCGTGAAGCTGCCCACTACAAGTGCTAACTTCCCAGTTTGTATAATCCTATTTTTTCCGTTCCTACTCATTTTCCTATATCCAAATTCAAATGTTCTAATTTTCCCCTCAGTTATGCAACTGCTATCAATAGTTGTTGCTTGGTTTTACAAACTCTCACACTCCAACGTGGGATAAAATGGGTATTAAGCAATGCCCCGAGTCATCATTCTTCTTTATTTCAATTTTTTCGCTTTTTTGCTTTGCCATTCTTCTCCCACTCCATCTCCCCAGGTATAAAAAGGAAATTAATTTAGGTGTAAGCTTCTTTTTTTCACTTCTTTTTCCTGCATGGTTGTACTCATTTTACACATTTTCATGTACACATAATATGTAATTGTATGAATTCCCAGGTTTAGCTTCATATGGGGTCTTTTTTAACTTCTTCCTTTGAAATCTTCATTGTGCATTTTTTTAAATTTTGGTCAGATTATGAGTTTCAATTTTGATTATCTAATGTGCTATGGTAAATTTAAAAATTATTTGTTTTCATTCTTAGGATATTTACAAGAATACCCACAAAAAATGAAGAAGGAACTACCTATTGATAAGATCCCAAACATACATGTCTCTATTTTTACACCTGGTTGGGAGATATCTGTCGGAGTAAAAACTACTGATTTAAGCCAACTGATTCTCAAGGAGTGGAAAAAGAAGAAGCATGAGTAGTATATATCCTAAATTCTACACTAAATTTGTTACAAGAAATCTAACATCATATATACCTTTAATATATAGGTGGCGCATGAAAAAGGCTGTAGAAGAATTAAAACCTTCAACAACTCCTCAAATCATACTTTATTTGGAATAAGGTCCAACAAATTAGGTACAACACAATTTCTTACCCATTTATTTTTAATGGCATTCTCTATATCATTCTACAAATTAATTATCTCAAATTATAAAATAAAAAAAATTCTACAAATTAATTATTTCAAATTAAAAAAAAAACAATTTATGGGTGTAGGAAAAATATTAATAGTGACCAAACAACTTTTCTAAATACGGTAAGCCTTCTCTTATTTTCATACGAAAGTATACTATAAATTCAAATTGCATTCAATTTTCAAATAGAAATAAAATTGCATTTTTTGTCTGTTTTATAAGCATCACACCCGTCTCAAAGTACAAAGGTTGAAGTACAAGATTAAGGTAATATTTCTTACTATTTAATTTTGTAAATATGATTACAGTTTGTTACCTCAAACTTGACAAATTATTCATCTTTTAGTATTCTACAAGTAACTGGAGTAAAAGTATTGCCATGAGAAAATTGTCAAACTTAAAGGTATTTAGGTTAAGTTGCTTACAATCTTTGTAGTGGAGATTGTGCATTATAGTTAGACTTCTTATTTTATCATCATTGCTTGCAGATTAACCATAAAAATCTAAAGCATCAAGTGCAATGGCAAGCATGGCTTTGATTTCACATGTAGGCGCTATGTTTACATATGTACATGAAGTCCATATTTTGCTTTGCTTCATATATTAGGAGTTCATCCCTAGCTAGCCTATAACTTTGACTGAAAACTTATGAATCTGAAACATTTTGATTTAAGGACATTAAGTGTTGTCAGTATGTATTTAGAAATGAAATTACATGTCATATTTTCAGATTTTTTTTTAAATAGTATATGTTTTCCCATTTTATCTTTGTTGTTGGTTTAAAGGAAAAATAGTAAAAATTGTATGAGAGATTAATCACATATGTGCACATTGGATGGAATATATGCTCCTAAATTCTTCAACGAACGCGGCAATATGACAATATGGCATGCTATAACACCATTATCACTTTGGAATAATGGGATGATTGTACGGTAACACCACTATCTCATCAATCTTTCTTCAACTCAAGCAATTGGAACTACGTAGCCTGGCTCATACTCTAATGTTGAACATCTCAGTCCCAACCCAAAATGGCACACCCATTATTATGTACTCACTCCTCTAACCGCATCAACTATCCCATTCACACAGCCATTGAACAGATAATCTGCCACCTGCTCGAATGACGCCACTAATAACATAAAAATGTCGTTGTGCACCTTTTTAATACAACCACTAATCCTCATGCTACAAAATATATTGATCGGTTCATATTTTATATACAGCATTAAATAATTAAGCATATTTTTTTTAGATACGAAAGTTAAAGGAACCTAACTCTTGATCTTCTTCTGTACAATATATAAGGGTAAAACGGTACTGATGGATATAACAGAATTCTAACTACACTGAGTAACTTAATTACCAAAGTCATAATAATGATCAAGCATAGCTCAGTTTGTGAAATCAATTTCTATTAGTCAAAAAAAAAAAAAAAAAGAGCTGGAATGGTTAGTGTGCAATTCATAAATTTCATTTTTTGTGTACAATGGGTGGGTGCAAAAAGACTAAGTTAGATGATTGAACATAATAAAATAACGGGTACATTTTACACAAAAGAGAAGGTATATGACCACCCATCCTTATTTTGTTGTATTTTATATTTTTATAGAACATTTTTCGAATATTTTTTCGTCTTTAGTGATCTTTATTTAAAATTCAGAGAGGACCCACACGTTTTCTCCCTTTCTTTTCCGCGTGACCTCTTTCTTTCCTTTCTCTTTCCTTTTTCTTCTCAATTATTAATTTATTTTCTCTCTCGATCTCTCTCTCAATTATTTTCTGTCTCGATCTCGGAGGGAACCCACACGTTTTCTGCTTTTCTTTTCCGCGTGGCCTCTCTCTTTCCTTTTTCTTCTCAATTATTTTCTGTCTTGATCTATCTCAATTATTTTCCACATCTCTCTCCTTCACACACACTCTATCTCATCTTCTCCCTCAAACCGATGCTCTCACTTCTCCTCTGCAACCTAAGACAAATCACCAAAGTCGACGAACCGACGTTCAAATTACCACCATTGTACTCCTTTCATCCTTACGAACTCAACCATATAAACGGAATCAAGAACAAGTGAGTTTTGGACGTCGAACTCGGAAGCTCCGACTCGGTTCGAAATTTTCCCGACGAATTTCCGGGCGAGTTACAGGGTTTTAGAAGGTTTAGAAGTCACCACACAACTCCCCAAGGTCCCTAGTACAAGTTTGAAGACAAGCTAATGTGAAAAAGCACGAGTTCGATAAATTAAAGTTTGTGCCGTGAGCTTCCAAGCCATTTTCAATCAATTTTCATCCACTGTTTGCAATTTTAAAAGGTATAAACTTGTTCTACTCTTCATAAGCTTCAATTCCATATAAGGTACGTCGAAAATGGTTGAGAAATGAGCAAGATATGAATTTTTGAAAATTTTTCAGTTTTCCAGCGGACAGCAAAGGAGGGTGGTGACGGTGCTGGAGGTTAACCGGTGAAGAAGACTGAATATTCCGTTAAGTTAACGGAATATTCTGACGCGGTTAAGGTAATTGATGTCGTTGCTATTAATAAAATATTCCGTTGACGGCGCGTGACCTTGGTGGCGAGTGGTTGACACGTATGGATCTGTGACGTCGTGTAAAATGTTTTCGTATATTTAAACTCCCAGTTTGAGCAAAATATAAAGGGTTTTTCCTAGTATTTTGTATACGTTAATTAATTAGTTATTAAAGTTAATTCTTTTTATAGGAATTAATTATTCTAGTGACGTACAAGGTTAAACAAGAGGCAAGAAGGCTACGATCCGATTATATATTTGTGAGTGGGCATTTGTTTTTATATATTATATATAAAGTTCTATAGGTTTCACATATGCTTTTAAGAATTAATATTATGCCTATTATACCATGATTTAATTCGATTAAATGTGATATTATATGATTGAGATATAGGAATTGTCATGGCAAAATCACATGTATGTTACTGCTCAAGCATGCTACAAAGGTGTATGTACTAGCCCCAGGGCCATGGCTAGTTTACATAGCACCGTTCACTCATTAAATGGTTACGTCACCTTGGGATGTCGGTCATCATTATTCCGTCGGGTGTGTCATGGTACTTACAAAAAAAAATAGGTACAATTTATATATAATAAAGTAGTACATTTTAAAAGACAAATGGGTACATTATTAATAAATTATGGATACAAATAAAAGGTCAAAAAATATGAGTACAAATAAAATTTGAAAAATATGAACATAAAAAGAAATTAATATATAAGTACAAACTAAAACTGAATAGAAAATTGGCATAATTTAAAAAAAGGGTTGCAAATTAAAATGAGTACAAACTAAAAATAAAAATATATGATACAAAATTTAACCATAAATATAAATATATCAAATGTATCATTTGTAACATTAATAAATGAATAATTTAGAAATAAAATTTAATTATCTTGATATGTAAAATATTTTATTATTGAGATAATTAATGATGTTTATTAAAATCAAGAGATCTTGATTAAAAATTAAAAAGAAATAAGATTTTAATTAATGAAGTTGAAAAAAAAAGAGATGGAAACTTAATTTATTTTTATATTTTTATATTTTATTTTTAGTGTTTTTAGGTGGGTTAACGGAGTTTAAAGGGAAGTTAGTGGTAAACAGGCGTCAAAATATGAGAGAGGCCACGTAATGCAAAAGATTTGAACTCGAATGGAAGGTGAGCGAGGTGAGTAGATATGGGATAATAAAAGAAACGCGCTTGTTTAATCTCTGATCACTTTCTTGGAACATGCGTACATTTTATTAAAAGTTTGAAACTCCACCCTCCCACGGTTGTGGGACCCACCGCACCCACTCACATCCCACCACCATCTCAATCCCTCCCAGCTTTTAACGGAGAAATCGTCTCCAAAATATAAACCTTTAGGGGGCGTTTGTTTGCCCTCACTAAGTTGGACTGGACTAGCTATTAGTCCAATACTGTATTTGTTCCATGCTGGGACTAATATTAATGAGACTAAAGGGGACTAGCATGGACAAAACCCTTCATTAAGAGGTCTTAGCGAGACCCCCCAATAACCATAGGACTAGCTAAGACTATCTTTTCTTTCTCGTTCTCGTCATGCTCAATGACCACTCTCGACAGACTCCTCGTCATCTCCGGTCACCTAAATCAATCATTAACTTTCCGACTCTCTTTCAGATCCATTTCACAACCAACTTTCATATAAAATATACCAAATTAAAGCTGGGAGTGACAAGATTACTATTTTACCTGAATCGAGGCCAAAATGTGGTCGAATGTGGCTGGAAAATGGCCTGGAAGTCTCGGCTTGTTTGGGCTTCTTCAAATCCATGATAGATTTGAGCATTCAAAGCTAAGATCTCGGTCCCGGGTTTAGGGTTTAGGGATGGTGATGAATTTTTCGACAGTGCTAACTTCATCCAATTTAACGAGGAAATGGTAGGAAAAAATGAAGAAAAAGATAAGATCATAATAAAATATTAATAATTTATATATTAAATAATATAATATTATAATTTGTTATTAACCAGCTTCTTAGTCCAATATTGCACCAAACGCTTCACTAAGTTAGTCCAGTTTAGTCTAGTCTAAGCCAGTCCAGCTTAGTCCTTGAAGCTAATCTAGTCCGAGATAGTCTGGCGTAACAAACGCCCCCTTATTTCTTTTATTTGGCCGTGTCTAAGGGCGCAGAGGGAGGTCCCATCCTTTATGACCATTTACCGTTGTCCTCCACTAGCACTAGCAGCAGGAGGAAATTCCACCTCTCTCTCTCTCTTTTAGGTCCTCCACTAGGGATATACTATAACCTTTCTTCCGTTTGAACGCAGTTTGTTTCTGCGCTGAAAGCTTTCGCAATTTCGTCTTTATGTTTTTTTATTGTTTAATCTCTAATGACTTTCTTGGAACGTGCGTACATTTTATTGAAAGATGTTTTACAGAAAATGCTTTTCTTTTAATTAAGCATATTTAATTTTCAATTTTTGTCCTCCATGGAGCCTTTGTAAGTTTGTGCACAGACTACAATTTCAATTTTTCTGTAGTAAACTCTAACCTAGTCTCAGCTGCGACTCTAGTTCAGATTCTCTTTCTGCTCTCTGATCCAAGAAATTGAGAGATGGAGTTGATTGCGTTCATTCAAGTTTTCAACATCATCGGCATCGTAATCGGCATCGGGACTCTGTTCTACATGTGCTGCAGGTCTTTGACATTTTCTTCTTCTTCCTCTTCTGCTGTTGATTCTGCTGTAGCTGATTGTGCTGCTGTTGCTGATGACGAGGATGCTGATATCCCCCCACGTCGAGAAAAGTATGATGTGTTTATCAGTTTCAGAGGTGACGACACCCGCCTTGGTTTTACCAGCCATCTTCATGCTGCCCTACATCAGAAGAAAATTGAAACATACATCGATAACAGACTTCAGAGTGGAGAAGAAATCGGTCCTGCCCTTCGACAGGCAATCGAGAAATCCACGATTTCGGTGATCATTTTCTCTCAAAACTATGCTTCTTCCACATGGTGTTTAGATGAACTCGTGCATTTACTCGAGTGCAAGAAAAGATATGGCCAGATGGTTATACCCGTATTCTACGACATCAACCCATCTCATGTACGAAAACAACACGGGAGTTATGCAGATGCATTTGCTCAACTTGAAAAACGTTTCGAGAACAGTATCCACAAGGTGCACAAGTGGAGGGATGCTTTGACGACTGCGGCCAATCTATCTGGGTTTGATTATTCAAACAAATCCGGGTAACTAACTCATCCTTTTAACTTGTATAAAATTATAAATTTTCTTTAAACTTGTGACGATTTGATTTGTGCTAAGATTCGGTAAACCGTATTTAAGACTAACTATTGCTTTTCTACCTAATCATATATATATATATCTACATGCCAGGACTGAGGCAGATCTAATTCAAAAGGTTGTCGATCATATTTGGATACAACTGTGTCGCGAATCATCCTGCGATTTAAATGGGCTTGTTGGAATTGAAAGCCGCATCAAGCAGATCGAATTGCTGTTGGGCATTCATTCACAGGACGCTTGCATCACTGTCGGTATTTGGGGCATGGGTGGTATTGGAAAGACCACCCTTGCCGAGGCTGTATTTCACAAACACTCTTCTAAATTCGAAGCTTCTTGTTTTCTTAAGAATGTTACGGAGAACTCAGAACAAGCAGGTGGACTAGATCGCTTGGAAAAAACACTTCTTAAGGAGATATTAAGGGAAGAAGTTCTGCCCATAGGATCAACTTTGGTTCGAGAAAGGCTCAGCCGCACAAGGGTCCTCATTGTTCTTGATGATGTGAGTAGTTCAATGCAAATGGAACGTTTAGCTGGCGATCGTCTTCGGTATGGCACTGGAAGTAGAATCATTATCACGACTAGAGATAGGAGCACACTTGGGCAAACTGTTGAAGAGGATTACATCTACGAGGTTGAGGTATTAAAACCAGATGACGCTCTTCAGCTCTTCTGTTCGCGTGCTTTCAAGAATAACAGTACTCATACAACAGATTATAAGGAGTCGGCAGAAAATGTTGTGCAATATGCCAAAGGCGTTCCTCTAGCTCTTACAGTTCTGGGGTCATTGTTCTTCAATTGCAAGAGCAAAGGAGACTGGGAAGGTGAATTCAACAAACTGAAACAATATCCCAGTGAAAGTATCCAGAAAGTGTTGAGAATAAGTTATGATAAATTGGGAGACCATGAGAAGGAGATATTTCTGGATATAGCATGTTTTTTTAGAGGGTGGGATGTGGATGAGGTAAAACGAATGTTAAATGTTCGTGGATTGTTTGCGGAATCCGGCATTAGAATTCTCAGTAATATGTCTCTCATATCAATTGATTCAGAAGAGGAATCCATAGAGATACACGATTTGCTACAAGAAATGGGAAGGACAATTGTTCAGGAACAATGTATTAAAGATCCTTGTAAACGGAATAGGTTGTTCAATGATGAGGATGTCTATCGTGTATTGAAGAGTAACATGGTAAGAGCCAAATGCATTCAATTTTTTTTCTTTTCTTTCCTTTAGGAAAAAAAATTGCAAACTTTAGATGATAACAGAACAAAGTAAAACTAATTTATAAGAAAGAAGTTAGATTGTTAAAAGATGAAGTTGATTGAATTTTTATTGTGTTAGGAAGTCTTTGGAATATGAACCAAATATCTTGGATATTTAATAGACTATGACACTTCTACATCGTTACCATCAGAAATACTCTTTTTCCAAATGTTTATGTTCACATTCAAACTTTCTTCTTATTGTCAGGAAACTCCAAATGTTGAAGCCATAGTCCTTAATGGGTTTAACATTGCAAAGCGACCATTGAAATGTGTAGACTTCAAAGTGATGTCTAACCTTATATTGCTAATTGTCAGTTGTGGCTCCACATTCAACGCTTCTCTAGACCTTCCCGATTCTCTTCGTTATCTTAAGTGGTGGGGATATCCACTGGAATCTTTGCCGTCAAATTTTTCTCCGGAAAATCTAGTTGAGCTTCATATGCCATATAGCAGAGTTAAGGAGCTTTGGAAAGAAGCGCAGGTATATTATATTATATGCCTATTTTAATTCTTGTATAAAATCAAGTGTAGAAATTATATTAATTCTTTATATTTCTATTTCATTTGTTGCAGATACTTGTCAACTTGCAAGTTATCGATCTGTCGTACTCTAACTGTCTAACTGAAGTTCCAAATCTCTCTAGGAGTCTAAAACTTGTGGAGATAAATCTCTGGGGCTGTAAAAGTTTGGTTGAAATTCCTTCGTATTTTCAACATCTTGACAAGCTTATTCATCTTGATCTGGGGGTCTGCACGAGTCTCAAGTATCTTCCAAAGATGCCAGGAAGTATTCGATACTTAGATTTACGAGTCACTGGTATAAAGGAGTTGCCTGAATCAGTTTGGTCTAACGAAAATATTTCTTACTTGAATATAAGTGATTGCAGAGACCTTGAGAAACTTCCAAGCAACAGTTGTAAGCTGAAAGCCTCTAATGTTTTTGGTATTGCGAGCTGCACATCTCTTGGCGAGTTTTCTGAGCTTCACCGGGATATAACTAAATTATCATGGGTTGGTTGCAAGAGACTTGTGAGTCTACCGAACTACATTTGTAAGTTGAAATATCTCGAGGAACTCGATCTCTGTTGGTGCTCTAAACTTGAAAACTTCCCGGAGATCTTGGAGCCAATGGAACATTTGAAGTTCTTAAATTTAAGTGGAACAGCGGTTAAAGAGCTACCATCATCAATCGAGTTTTTCCCTGGTCTCAAAATAATTCAACTAAAAGGTTGCTATAGGCTGTCAAGTATCCCAAAGAGCATTTGTAAGTTGAAATATCTCGAGGAACTCGATCTCTGTTGGTGCTTTAAACTTGAAAACTTCCCGGAGATCTTGGAGCCAATGGAACATTTGAAGTTCTTAAATTTAAGTGGAACAGCGGTTAAAGAGCTATACACATCATCAATTGAATTTCTCCCCGCTCTCGAAAATATTGAGCTAGAAGGTTGCAATAAGCTTTCATGTATCTCAAAAAGCATGTTGAAATATGTTAAAAGACCTGATGAGTATGAAACAAGTGAAAGTGATGATCATGGGTTTGAAGCCAGTGAAATTGAAGATTATGCGGACTTATAATCCAACATTCTTAAGCATCGTTATCCAACATTCTCAAGGTGGTGAACAAGTTCCTCGATATGCAATCCTTGACCTCTGTTGAACAAGTCTGCTGGTAATCGCAATTTCCTTCAATTAAGTTAACGTCTTAGGTTTTCCTTGTTTTAAACTGCATTTTAATTAGCAATTGTGTCTGATGCTAAAACTATTTCAATCGTTGGATTGTCATTTACATTTATACTTTGATTTTTCATCACTGGCACCCTTTTTCGGCGTTTCTTTTTTCAAAACATAATCTTTTTCGTGGAATGAAAAAGATGGATGGTTTGGATCGTTGATATCACCTTTGAAAAATTAAGATTTGTGCAAATATTGCTTGAAATTCTATAATATCTAGAGAGTTTATAAACATCGAGCAATATTCATACTAACCTTAAAAATCAAAATGTAATATTAATGATCCAAACCGTTCATCTTTTTCAATTTACTATGAGATCATGTTTTCGAAAAAGAAATTCCAAAAAATGGTTCCCGATGATGAAAAATTAAAGGGTAAACGTAAACGACAATTGGATGGTTAGAGTTTGTCACTAAGGTTTATGGACTATTGTGTCGAGGTTTGGAGTTAATTCCTTTGTAAAAATTGTAGGCCATGTCATTACGAGCGTTTCTATATTTTTTTTGTATTTTTTTTCACACTTGTAAATTAATTATTACTATTTTTTAAATTGTTTTGAAGTCATAGGAAAAACACTATTCACAATGGTTTAGAGGGTTTAAAAAAATACAATGACGGTCTAACCATCGCAAAAGAGTAGAGTATGAAGTCCTGAATGTTGGTATATTTTTTCACATTTTTCTCATTTCTACGTTAATTATAATGAATTTTTATTGATAATCACTCCCCCTAAAATCATTGTTCACGAGGGTCTGGAGAGTTATAAAATTTCAAATGATGATGAAGTAAGCATCAATGCGTAGAGGATGCAACCACGAACGTTGTCATATTTTTTTTTCATATTTTTAACACTTGTAAGCTAATTATTATAAATTTTTAATCGTGCTTTAGTATTTTGTAGGAAAATCAAATTATACGAAGAAAACCATATTGAAAAATGTGAAAAACTATGGTAACGTTCCTTATTGCATTATCTACACTTTGGACATGATTATTTAGTCATTTGGCTTTTAAAACCATAAAAATCCTCGTGAATAGTGTTTTAAGGAAGTTAAAAATGTGGAATAATTCATAATAATTATTTTTCGAGTGCAAAAAATGTGAAAAAAAAAAATATGACAACGCTTGTGATCACTTCCTCTACACTTTTACCATGGTTATATCATCCTTTGAATTTTTAAAACCATACAAACTCTCGTTAATAATATTTTCCCTTTGAATTAAAATAATAAAAAATTAGTAGAAATTAATTTACAAGTGTGAAAAATGTAAAAAAAAAAAAAAAACATTTATAAACGCTCGTAATAACAAGGCCTACGAATTTCGTGAAAGATTCAACTCCAAAATTTTGTGAACAGTATTTTTAAAGGGAGTTAAATTTTTTTTATAATTCAGTTAGTGCTTATATCTTTACTTTTTATAAACTTTCATAACGAATCATATGTAGTCATAAACTTTGATAATATGTATAAAAAAATGTTTCTATTGCTTTACAACAAACATTTAATAAGGAAAACACATTTCACAAGTACAATTTTCCATCTTTAGTTATCTCCTTTACTTTATTTCACAGAACTATGGTAGTGCCATCATGAAAAACCCCAAATTTCTTGTTACCAAGAAAAGCATTCAAATTAATCCTACAATTCTGAAACTACCACCTATATCTGCACTCTTAGTCCACAATAGAGACCCCTCAAGCTGCACCTGTAAGATGAAACAAAGCGAAAGATATTAATTCAAAAAGAAAAGGTTTCCCAACTCGCTATACTCCAAAAACATAACATATAATATTAAACCGCACAAATCACCAAGGTTGAAAAAAAAAAATCACCAAGAAAATAATTGGTCTCAATACATGCAATGGCAGTCAAGGGGACAATAATATAAAATCTAAACACAACTTGTCAACAAATCTTCATAAGCCTACATTCTATGAATGATCATACCATTATGTTACCATTTGTGGCAGCCAAAAATTACTTCTCCACTAAACAAGTCACCAGCATGCTAAACATGGAGAGTGGGGGTAAAGTAAAGGAGCATGATCAAATACATACATGAATGTGGAACATGGAGAAATATAAGGAAAGTGAGGCTTGGAGCCTAGGACTTGAATGGCTATATAGGGCCAAACAACTCCACCAGCATGGGGGTAGAGGGAAGTATCAGATAGCTTTACAATGTATTGCAATTATTTTGAACAAAGATTGACTTGAGCGCCGGAATGTTTTTTTGCAGGTTCCATCCTCCCTCATTGATGGCAAACAAAGATGGTGTCATGGGCTTCTGATCACAGTTACAGGATTTACTTGTTGGAAGATTGGAGGATCCGAAATTTTCCAATCCAACAGTTGGCGCCATCTGTGGGAAACTTACAAAAAGCTGTCTTGAGAAGCCATGGAACCGTCCAAGAATAGAGAAGAATTCCTATACTCCTACTTTTCAGTTTCACGAATTAAATGAGAATCGTTGCAGTGGCTTCTTATGATTGCAATTCTTCCTGCCATAATTCTAAAGAATTGTCACAATCCTTTGTCACATTGGAATTTCATTTGGAAAAAAAGCTTCCACAGTTTCAAGTTTTTTTAGGCGTATCATCGTACGTGTAGCTTTCACAATTTCAAGTTTTTTTGTTGTGATGCTGCAAGAGGCTTCTACCGTCTGCTTTGACTCCTCTACCGAAACCACTTGCCATGCAAAACATGGACAGCAAAAAGAGCAGTCTGACGTCCAAGAACTCTAGGCTCGAAGTGCCCATTTTTTCAGAACGAAGCGATTGATCTTCTCTTTCACTCGAACTATGCTAGTTTGCAGTTGTGAGTTGTGAGTGTGAGTGTTTGTGGGGGAAAACTTCCGAAGCAATTGAAAAAGGGCGGGATTTTGGATGAAGAGTAACTTTTGTTAACTCCCTCCCTCTCCCACTACATCACTAGTCAACCGTTTGATTGGCCCATTAACCCATCAAACGGTTACCTTAAATCAAGATGCGCTTGTCTTCCCATCCATCCATGCTTAGGTGCCTCCTTGTTATTGTTCCCTATACTTTCTCCTTAACATGCGACTGTAACACCCACTACCTCTTTTAAAAACGGTACAACCAAACTGAAGTGGACAACCTGCAAATTATCTCGGGGAGAACAAGGAACGTGGGTATGCTATGGATTTAGTTGGTTTTTCCCTATTTTCTAGGGTTTTTTTTTGTCTGCAGCCAAATACAGTCCTATGGATTCGCATAGACGAGACTTGTAAGACACAATATGTTGTTAATCCAATTTAATAATTTCTGTTCCTGCAATTATACGTTCACGAAACACAAGTTAGAGCATAGCACATTACCATTGAGCAATCTCATCGTGACCAAGCAACCGAACGCGTTTACTCTACGAGGTCCATACGCGACACAAACTTCATATGAATCCTAAAACGCTATTGCACTCAGTTCTGTGCCACACAAGAATGAACTTTTACCAAAATGATAAAATCTCTTGTTCAAATCGAGACATTTACCAAGTATAAACAAAATCACACAACCAAGATTGAGATCAAAATGGATTGAAACAATGTTTGCGAACACAATTTTGATTAAAATGATTGTCTTAAACCACCTTAATAAGAAACAATGGAGGTTGCAGCATGTTACAACAAATTATAGAGGAATTAATTAAACAATCATGCAGCTCATTCGGTATGGAGATGAGGGTTTTGAGTTTAAGAAGCAATCATAACAACGCTAACTTGTTGCAATAGGATGTCAGGATGCACAGGATTGGAGCATTCATACAAAGAATGAAGTTTGCAAAATTAAGCAAGTAAAAAGATCAGATGTAATCGAGGCTATACGCTTCTTTGTTTTTTTTTTATCCCACCCTTCAAATGCCTCATTTCCTTGCCTTTACAAACCTGAGACACCGATACTTTTCAGCACTGACAGTGATTTCAAGTGCTCCGTCTTGATTATCTTGATTCGATGCAGTTCCCATTAGAAAGCTTTTCTCCTTTTCGAGGTTTTCTTTCTCTATTTCCAGCCTTGCTTCTTGTCTGGCTATCTCTGCCTGCAACAAAACAATGTTCGATTAGGCTAAAACACAAAATAATGGTGCATCACCTTAAATTAAATGTCCAAAATTTAGTAAATGTAAGCACGTATTTTTCTAAAAACTAGTTATTACGAGGATCATTGCTCATGACACGAATAGGTTATAGGTCTCTGCTGAATTTCCTAAGAACACGTGTAGATTAGAAATAAACATACAACACTCTAAGAGGTTAATTTGTCACTTGTGCTCAAAAAGACAATTCCAAATCTTTAGGCAATCTCCAATAGTGTAGGACTACATTCTTGGCATTCCATGATTTTGTAGTGTTTGTTCTTATTTTTTCTAGAAATTATAAAATATGAAGACAATATCAAATGAACTAACATGTACTAATATAGTATATACTGAAAAATGAGGGTTGTTATTTTCGTTATATACTTGTATTTTTGATGAGATTAAAGAAAAGATGAGAAAACATAAAGTTTTAAAAATTCGTCCCAAGTAAATGGTTTGTATCATTGTGGGAGGCTTGGAGCACGGTGAAAGCGTGAGGAGAGCATAATGAAATAATAAAGAAACGCGTGGTGAAAACGTGAGGAAAGTGGTATGCGATAATAAAGAAACGCACTTGGAGTTGGAGGTAGCGGTTGGTCACTTTTCCTGGTGCCCAACCAAGCCCCTCAAGTCGTGAACGAGAAGCTCTCTCTCTCTCTCTCTCTCTCTCTCTCTCTCTCTCTCTCTCTCTCTCCCCCTCTCTCTTTCAAAACACTACGTACTTTGATAGCTGAGAGAGCTCCGACGGAGGGAAATGAGCTGTCATTTTCCACGATACATAGTGGAGAAAACACAATGATGACTAACAATAGAAAAACATTAATTTAACAATAATATGAGCATGGGGGTACATGGGACGATGCTGCTTCTCTTCACTGGTTTACTAGTACAATAATATGCAAATTTTTTAACATACCTTAATTTGCTTTTGTTTACTACAAGTGTATCTCATTGTGATAGAATTGTGATCCAAAACTGACGCATTCCATAGACAAGGACAGGCCTGATATACACCCTATCATCTTTAATTTGCCATTTGTTTTCGCATGTACACACATTATGAATGCATTTAATTGTTCTGATATTTGTATCATAATTCTAGATTATTTTGTTCGAAAATGATTTTTCAACACAATTGTTTGGTCAGAACAACATCATCACAAAAAACATATGTCGTCTTTTGAAAAGTAATTTTGACAATTATATAAGTATTTGCAACCACATTTCCATGTCAAAAATAAAATAACTTTGCCATTTTGAAAATTCATTTATGATGGAAAACTAACTACTAACGACAAGTCTTGTGCGTCGATAATAAAGTATTTTCGATGGCTAGTCTGAAAAAAAGTATTTCCAATGAGACAATTTCCAACGCCCATCAAAGACTTTTTCCCGTTAGAAATAAGTATTTGTGATTGCAAAATGTCTCTTCCCACAACATTTGACCCTCACTAATGACAGTTCGTTTTGCAATGGTTTAACGAAAGGTAGA